TTGAGACCTCTTGGGTTTTTCTCCATCAACTTCAGCAGACTCATTGGTGTTGTACTTGTTCAGCTCATGTTTGTCTCATCATGTTGGCGAGGCTTTACGGATGTAGATTCTGAAATTTCTAGGAGACACAGTCTCACAACAAACACCCTGAGCTGCTGGGTCTTACAGTCTTTTTGCCTGCTCTTCAACATTATTTCCTGAGCCTTAGGTACAGGGCTATGGTGGAGATGTATCCTTTGGGACTGGGTTCCAGTCTACATATTAGTTGGTTATGGTTTTCTGTATTTTAATAGACAAGTGAAGACTATGCACATCTACTGAGTCTGGGAGGACTTGTATCTGATACCTCATATTTGATTGTAAATGACAGAATTAAATTTCTGTCATTCTTCCCATTTTTTAATGATTTGGTAAGATTTCCTGTTTATTTTTGGGGGAAATAATCTTGTAATAAAGACTGTTGTCTGCCTGTTTGTTTTTGGCCTCCCTAGGTGAATACACTTAATCTAGAGCTGGGTTCTCTCACCAGCTGTCAGATTGAGAACTTGGAGCCTCTAGGTTCAGGTCAGCAGCCCAGTGGCTGAAACTTCCAAACATTCACATGTGTCCCTTTGTCTACATATCTACTTTCTCAAGTTCCCATGCACCCAGACTCCTATCTCTAAGAATAGGATGACAGACGAATTTGCTTTACATGCTATAAGAAGCCCCTAAAACATCATGTGCTAGACTCTGTCCTCTTCACCTGAAGTGACTAAAACCTTGAAACTACAGCCTACTCCCCTTTCCAAGAAAAAAAGTCTCAATTTCTAGTCTGTTCAGTTTTGTGTTTTTCTATCTTGTTCCTTGTCTGTAGAAATGGTTGTCTTTTGATTCCAAACATGCCGTTTAATTTTTTTTCTTGCTCACTACCTGGTTAAAGCAAAGATGCCATTTTGACCTTAAGATGCTCTGTTCACTTTCTAATTCTGTAATTATGGTTTATTCACTGTTCTCTCTCTCACACACAAGTCATTCCTTTTGATTCTCAAAAGACTGTTTTGGAAGTCAGAAAGCTGGGTATTGGCTGTTTCTTCTTTTCATTTCCTCCCTAATGATCTGCTTATCCCAAGGCAATGTACATGCCTCTAACTGAGAAGGTAAGAGGTCACAGCACAAAGGAAATGATAAAAAGTAAATGTTCAAAAATTACTATTTTGAGATGCTTTCTGTATATGTCCCTAATGAGGACTATGCCTCAAAGCCTGGGTTTAGGCATTCTATGTGCATGAAATTGAGCATAGTCTAACCTAGAAATAACTACTGATGAATTTAATATTGACTTCTTTCAGTATCTTCTATTCCCCTTGCTCCTTGAGGCCAGGAACTCAAGAAGTATAAAAAGAAAGATTAGTAATGCTTTAATCCCAGCTGTTTTTGTGGAGAAAGAAACAAAAAGGAAGAAAGTATGGCATGAAGAAGGAAATAAAGATGAAACAATCAGCTCCATGGGGACTTTGAGCTCAGGATGATTAAAAATATGATACCTACACAAGAGCATAGAAGACTCTCAACTAGCTGAGATTGCATGGCTGTGGACAAAGACGTCCTGACAACCTAAAATACAGACCTCATGAACTGGATGAGCACTTTGTGGCCTATTGAAATCTTGGGTGCAAACCCAGTCAGCAGCAGCACTTTGCAGATCTTTATGGATGTCTAGGCTATCATCTATTATAGTGTGTGATTCTCTGTTGGCAAGCATTCAAAGATCCAGGAATTAAGATGTAGAAATGGAGGCAGCACAACTCTCTTTTGCTACTTATGCCCCCCTAGCAAAAGTGTTCCTTCTTATGCCTTTGGCTATATGCTATGCCAATATAGAGGTGTTGTTTCAAAAGGGAGAAATTCTTCTACCACATGATCCAACATGATTCCATTGAAGCAGGTGTCTTAACTGGGCACTTTGGATTCCACATATCTCTGAGTCAACAAAAAATGAGGGTTGATTGTACTGATTAAGTGATTGGCTTTGATTACCGTGGGGAGTTTGACTTACTACGACACACTTGAAGTGAGAAACTGTTTCTCACACACAAGCAGTTTCCTCTTAGGGCTATTACAACTGCGATTAAACAGAGGAAAACTGTAACAGCACAGTTAATAGGAGACTATTAATTGTTCACAATGTCAATAATTGTTCACATTGTCAAGAATCAAAGCTTGGGTCAGGACCCTACACAAGAGACTGTAACTAGGCAAGCAGCCTGCTGAGACCAAAGGACCATGACTAATGAGGTACCTGTTGAGGAAAAATGAAATAGGGTAAATCAAAAAAGGTACATAGATATTATAGCTATGTGACTGAAACCACTTAGTCCAGTGGTTCTCCACCTGTGGTCTGTGAACCCTATGACAAGTCTCTATCTCCAAAAATATTTACATTGCAATTAATAATAGCAGCAAAATAACAGTCATGAAGTAGCAATGAAAATAATTTTATAATTGTGGTCACCACAGCACAAGGAACTATATTAAAGCACTGCAGCATTAGGAAGGTTGAGAAGCACTGGTTAAGTCTTAATCAAATGTAAAAAGTAAGATCTTAGTAGTTATTTTGTTACATGTATCTTTATGCACATGTAAATATTTTGTGTGTGTGCATGAATATATTTGTGTGCACATACATATATCAGTGAGCACATGTGTATCAAGGTCAGAGGCCAATACTAAGTGTCTTCCTCAATTCTCGTCTGCCTTATTTTTTGAGATAGTGTCTTACTCAACCTGCAGGTTATCAATTTGATTAGACTCCTGTCCCCCAAAACCTTAGGATTCTCATGTCTCCACATCTCCTGCTAGGATTATAGGTATGCTACTGTACGCAGCTTTTTGTGTGGGTGTTAGAGATCCAATATCAGATCTTCATCCTGGTATAGCAAGCATTATACTGACTGAGTCATATTCCCAGCATAACAAGTAACTTTTTTTCTTCTTTGATATTTTGTCATATGGCATAAGATGCATTATGATTAATCCTAGAATTCTATATTTAAGTTTCAGTGTATCAAGAAGGAATAGTATATATCACTTCAGGACTTTATGTACCCTTTATGGAAAAAGTGAACAATTTCCATTGCATGTAAGATAATTGTAGTGTATGAGAACTATAAATTAGTTATTGTCATTCTTTGGATATTACATAGATTTAAAGATACATGTGCAGCTACCCGGCTAGCAAGGGATGGAGTGTAAAAATCAACTTTATATGTTAACCTAGCTTGTCTCTGGTTGCCAGTTATTCAATTAGTCACTAATCTCCATGTATCTGACTAGTACAGGTGGGCAAAGGGAAAGAAAGCCCAACAGTATAACTTTTCTTGTTCTTTTCCATAAAAGCATTGATTCTCACAAAGTGGGACTACAGATTAACTGTTATAATAGGTGCTTTGTGTTTAATCTTCACTATGACGTGAATGGATGAGTAATAGGATACCCTGACCACAGAATTAACTACTGTTATCATAATTCAAAAGATACAGTTGCAGATACGAGATAAATAATCCAGAATATTGGGATCTAAATGGTCCAAAAACTGGGAAAGTCTTAACTTTCTAAATGTTACAACCTCCAATGATTAAATTACTCAATTGTAGTTGGATTTTCTTGGACCACCAGCCTGCAAATAATAACTTGGACTTACTATTAATTATGGAAGCTTGGCAATTATTAGCTTAGGCTTGTTCTGCTAGCTATTATAACTTAAATTAACCTGATTTGTATTAATTTACACTCTATCATGTGGCTTTGTTCCCTCTCCTCTGTACTGTATGTCTGATTTGTTTAGAGGATTGTTGGCACCTCTCCACCTCTCTCTGTCCCAGACCACACACACACACACACACACACACACACACACACACACACAAACTCCCTCCCTCCCTCCCTCCCTGGGATTCCTACCTATTCCCTCCTGCCTAGCTATACATGCAGCAGCATGGACCCAGAATCTTCCCAGATCTGGGGTGGATAGACTGCCTCCAGGCCAGGGTCCATAGTCATAAAGCTCCCTATCACTGACCAGAAGAGGGTGGAGCTAGCCTCCAGACCATGTGTTAAGCTATCCCAGTGGTAGAGAGCCTGGCAGACTAAGGTTTGGCTCACACCATCAGAGAATGCTGTAGGCACTTAATAAAGCCAGGTCCAGAATCTGAAAACTTCTAAAAAGCAACAGCATGCTTAAATGGATTTTTAGGTGCTGAGGAAAGAAAAAAATGGGTATAGACAGGCATAAAAATAGTTTAAAAATAATAAAGTCTTTAAAGAGAGAGAACAGAAACTCTGGCTATCAAATGGTGCCCAACAAAGAGCACGAATTTCCACATAAACCTGACAAAAGCTTAAAAGGGGATTATAAACACAAAATAACAGAGGCAAGCAAAGTTTCTTGGTAACAGCATTTTCTCAGGTGTTATCTGTTTACTACAGAAAATCAGAAGCTCCCAGCTCCTTTAAGAGAGGTTTCTTGACTCAGAGTTAACAGCAAAAACTGCATGGCTCTTAAAAGAAGCCCTGTTACCAAACAATTCAATGATGTTTACAAACAGCCAGCAACATGCTTCTTGGTGGTGACTAGAAACTCTGCAGAGTTGTGGCAATAAGTATGGTTCCCACCAGTACTTCACCATGAAGCTACTCTCAGAAAGCCAAGAAATAGAATGGGACCAGACACCTCTTTAATTTAGCCATACTGTTTAGCAGATAAGACTCATGTGGTTAGAAAAAAAGATAGAGATATACAGTAAAGATAGATTCAGAGAAACAAAACCATATACATAGGCTTGAGAGAGAAAAGGAAAAAAGCAAAAATAAAAAATAAAAAAAAATAGAGTATCTGGGTGTGGTGGCACAGGCCTTTAATCCAAGCAGCTGGTAAGCAGAGGCAAGCAGATCTCTTCGATTTCAAGGCCAGCCTAGTTTATAAAGTGAATTCCAGGACAACCAATGTTACACAGAGAAAACCTGTCTCAAAAAATGAAAGTAAAAGAAATAGAGTAATAAAATAAAAAAAGTCACATAAAGATGGAAAGTACACAGAAAGTCTGGATAGTGTATGTTATTGTGTTGTCTTTAAATTTCTGCTAAAGGAGAAACAGTTGCTAAAAGACATTTGATTATAAATGCTGCTAGATAAATCCAACCTATATATTTTGAATATTCCTTGACTTTAAAGTTCAAGTATAAGGACATGTTACTTTGGAAAAGAGACTGTTTTTGTTTCCACAGATGATGAAAAGCTGTGGATTCCTTCCAGACTAATAAGGTTTGATGAAGCAAAAGCCCCTTGGAGCAATGGCCCAGGTGAGCCAACATCCAAAACAGCAGAGATGATGCAGTCTCAGATTTGGCCATGATTTAGGTTTTCTCAGGATCCCTATGGCATTGACAGTGCTCCCAAACAGCAGGAAACAGTTTGGAGAGAATGAAGCCCAAATTCCCAATTACTGTTTATAAATGTTTGTTTTCATTTAAATGGAGTTCGTCATAAATGGTTAATAGTCACAGTCAATATCTTTCTAAAGCAAAAAATGGAGTATGATATAAAAGTGAATACTTTGCATTGGTATGGATTTTGGTTTATTGATATAAATTTAAGGTCAATTTTGTTATATGTATATTTCTTCTCTTATTTAGGTATTATGTTTATACAGTTCATTAAAATGTAATGTATAACTAAATACAGATTAAAGATAGTCACCCATAATAGTCAAAACTCAGTTATTTTAGTTAGATTTTCTAGATATACAAAACAAGCCTGTTCCCTAACTTGAATTAATAATAATAATAATAATAATAATAATAATAATAATAATAATAAGAGAAAAAAGAAAAGAAAATGTGACATCTTCTTATAAATAAAAATAAATTTTTAAAAATTATAAAAAAAAGATAGTCACCCATAATAGTCAAAACCTAATAGTTCTGTTAGTTAGGTTTTCTAGATATACAGAGATATGCTTAACTGAACAGGTAGTTTTCAAAACCTCTTAAAGACCTACAGAATACGGCATTTTAAATGGTTTATTAGGGTTTCTCATGACAGTGAGACATAACTGCTTCTGGTAACACCAATAATGTCAGAGAGGAAGAGGAGCATTGAAGAAACTTGTTATGGAGTTTGCCTTCAACATGGCAGAAATAGCCACTTGGGCAAGAAACTCCTCTTGCCTGGACAGTTTGACTCTATGCTGTATAAAATGGACATTCATGACTCACAGGAAAATGACTGCTGAATTTGCCAAAACAAGATAGGGTAAGCCTTCAGGGTTCATGCTTCATGGAGGAGTCTGCCAGACATTCTGCAGGACATAGAGAAAAATGACTGACAAACTGCCAGTACATGTGGGACAATTTCAAATTTCTCACATTGTTGAGAAGTCTGCCAGACATTCTAGGCCTGTATGCTGAAAATGGATGCCCTGACATTACTGAAGAACTTTGGATGACTGTCCAGGCAGCAAGATGTCTCTGTCAATTCTAGAGTTTACATATTATCCTTCTGAGGTCTTTGATGGGGTTGAAGACATATAGTTATGATTATGGTTTTCCTTAGTTATGATAAAAGATAAATAACACATAAAACTTTAGACTCACAAAGATAGGATAGATGATAAAATATTTACTTTAAATTTTGCCAAGTGTTGATGGACTAAATATTGTTAACCATAGTTTTGATTGATAACTGTTTTGTTACATATAATTTTACTATGTTAAAGTTAAAAACTTTCTTTTTATTTAGACAGAAAAGATGAGATGATGGAGGATGTTCTTCTGTATACATGTTTGTGTTATTGGTTGGAGAATAAAACACTGGCCAGTAGCTACCAGATGAGGAGAATTCTGGGGAGAGGACAAAGAGAGGAGCCACAGGGAAAGCCATGTAGCTACAGTGAAGATGGGATTGCTGGGTGTTCTTTGGTAAGATAAAGTCATGTAGAAATATATAGGTAAATAATAATGGGTTAATAATTAAGAGAAAGCTAGACAATTAGAAGCCTGAGCCATAGGCCAAAAAGTATATAATTAATATAAGTGTCTGTGTGTTTATTTGGGGCTGAAGGGCAGCTGGACCAGGTGGAACAGAAACTCTGGCTACATAAAGTAACATATATAGATAGTAATATATAGCAACACACATATGTGTGTTACTATACATACATACATACTATACATGTATATGTATATTACTATAGGTAAAGATAGGAAATACAATGGTAACTGGATGTTGTATGTTGCTGTGTTCACTTTAAATTGTTTGAATGCTATTGAGCAGAGGGCAAACACTGATGTGAGACATTGAATTGTAGAAAGCCTGCCAAATCAAACCAACTAGTATATTTTAAGAATGTCTTAAATTCAGATTGGAAGTGAAAAATATGTTGCATTGGGGGAGAGGCTTTGCTTTTGTTTCCATAAGAAACAAAAAATAAAACTATGAATTTCTTCAAAATTAGTAAAAAACAGATATGATCAGGGGAGACCTCCTAAAAATCTTGGCTATACATATGAAGAAAACAACAACAACAAAGTCTACAAGACAGGTTTGTATATAATGATCTTTCTACATGGGAACTCCTCTGAGACTTTATGACACATGATAAATCTGATTGGCTACAGAGTCCTCATAACTTACTATTTCATGGCATTCTTTCATATGACATGGATAGAGGCTTGGTTACACAGTCCAAACAGACTTATAAGATTAACAGATGTGCCAGGCATTGGTGGCATATGCCTTTAATCCCAGCACTAGGGAGGCAGAGGCAGGGGAGTTCAAGGCCAGCCTGGTCTCCAGAGCAAGTGCCAGGATAGGTTCCAAAGATCACAGAGAAACCCTGTTTCAAAAAAAACCAAAATAAATAAATAAATAAATAACAGATGCTCTTTATCTATTCAAACGTAGAACAAAGACTCATCTTTTGCTGACTTATGCATACCACACATTCCATGCTTGTGTCAATAAAGATATATTTGTTACCTTTAAAAGTTTGTTTTCAGAAAAAAAAGGAGCAGAAATCAAGTAAAACAAGTAATCCATGTGACCCAGCCTCTCAGAATGCTTCAGTTACAGTGTCCTCAAAATTCTGCATGTAGAACACCTTCAAACTTGCTAACTAAAATGGTTCAGCCTCACATACTACACCATCTAGGATTTCAGATAAGGTCTACACTTTCACATCACATAGAGACTAAACAAAAAACAATATAGCTTGCTTTCCCAGGAATTGACTATTGTCCCAATATTTTCAGGGTCCCCCCAAAGATGCTGTCACCCCCAAATATCAGGAAGCAGTCTAGAGAACATGATGCCTATATCCCTAAATCATGGTGTGGGTGGTTTTTGGCAGTTTGGTTGATTATGGATGTTTGCCATTGTTTAAGAGGTGTTAGCTGCAAGATGTTATATTCAAGGAGGAAGCTAAATGAAGGAGATTAGCTTCAGGGATCTTGTTCTAAAAAAAGAGAAAGAAAATATAGAAATGCTAGGATATAACAATAGATTATTGAATCTACTTTTAGATGAATAAGCAGCTACTAGTCTCAAATATTTTACATTGATATGGATTTTTGTATATTGATACAAAATTAAAGTTATTTTTATTATAATACACTATGTATATGTTTCTATTCCCTTTTAAGGTATTGTACCTATGCAGCTTATTTAAAAAATGTGATGTAAATTTCTATACCTTGAAAACTATTATTATAAACTGTTTAGGACAATAAGAAATGCAGGTTAGTATTTAGTCATCTATAAAAATCAGACTAATACTCATGTTGGGTATGGTTTCAATTTTAAACAGATATATTTTAGATAGATAGGTGGATTTCAAACACTTCAGGGACCTACAGAATATGGCATTTAAGATGTTTTAATAATATAAGCCTCTCATGACAGTGAGATAGTCTATTCCTGGCAGCACGAATCTACTTCAAAAAAAAAAAAGATGATGTGCATCAAAGAAGCTCCATATGGGGTTTGCTTTCAATGTGATAAAGCTAGGCACTGGGTAAGAAACTTCCATCACCTCAACTTCTGACAGTTGGCTGCCCAAATTAGACAAGCAGGAAACAAAGGAAGGGTACTTGGCCAAGACAAGGTAGGACAGTCCTTCAAAATCCCTGTTTCACAGAAAAGTGTTTCAGATTTTCCAGGCCTGTAGGCTGAAGATGGATGCTCCAATGTGCAAAGGAACCTTGGATGATTATCCAGTCAGCCAACTGTTTATGTTATTTCTACAGTTTTGGAAATTGCTTGCTCTGCACTTCCTGTTTACTCAGGTAAAATTTTATCCTTCTCAAGTCTATGATGGGGGATAAAGGCTAGATAGCATCACTGTTTTCCTTGTTACCAAATTCAGAAAAGAAACTTTACATAAGAAATATAGAGTTTATATGGTTGAGAAACAAACAAAAAAAAACTTAAGTGATTTGCCTAAGATGTTTTAAGGTCTAAAAAGATATTTTAGGGTGGTAATACAGTTATGATAGATAGTGGTTTGGGTATAAAACTTTGGATTCCCTATGATATAATAGATAATATAGTACTTTCTACTAATTTGCTAAATGCATTTGGACTGGACATTGTGAATATAATTCTTACCTAATAATTATTATTATTGTATGTGGTTTTATTATGTTAAATTTAAAGTCTTCTTCTTATTAGATAAGAGGGAGAAATGTTGGAAGATATTTGTATACACTGTGAAGATGTGGTGGTTTGATTGGCTTAATAAAGAACTGAATGGCCAATAACTAGTCAGGAGAGAATAGGCAGGACTTGCATGGAGAGAGAGGACTCTGGGTAGAAGAGAGGCAGAGACACAGAACAAGTTAGGTATATAGTACAGAGAAGTAACCAAACCATGTAACAAAATGTAGATTAAAAATATGGGTTAATTCAAGTTATAAGAGCTTGTTGGTAGCAATCCTAAGCTAAGGCTGAACTTGCATAATTAATGTTAATTCTCTGTGTCAGTATTGGGGAGCTGGTGGTCCCACAAAGGAAAGTCTGGCTGCGTTGGAGAAAGTTTACTACACTTAATGTTAAACTACAGAAATCCCAGGCACTGCATTTCCCATTGGGGTTTGAGGGAAGCTCCATATGAGCAACAAGAAGCCAAAATCTGGGGAAAGGACTGGTGTGATTTTGATCACCTGTAACAGCTGCCAATGTGTGCGCTTTTATGTCACTTCCTCCCCTTCACATAGAGCACTAGGACTTTAATACTCTGAGAATAAAATAATTTGAAGATTTCACAACCTTTTGATCCAAAAATACTTAATGATACAGAATTTTCCTTGATGTTATACAGTACATTAAATGGGGAATTACTTTTGGTTAAAAATTTGACTGTTGAAATGATAGATTCCATAATTTTACCATTAAATCTGACACAGAAAAATTAAGTCACCTTGGCTAACGGATGGCACTTTGACACTTTCATAAATTTCCCCACTGTTTTTAACTGACCCATACATTCATGCATGCAGTGATTAGTTTTATTTATCATCTTGACACAATCTGGAATCACACAGGTAGGGATTATCAATGAAGGATTGGCCTATAGGCATGTCTGTGATGATGGTGGTGGGGTGGTTGCCTTACTTAGGTTAATTGAGGCAGAAACATTTGCCTACTGTGAGTGGCTTCAATTGTAGGTGATCCTGGTTATCCCCAAACAATGTGAGTGGGGAACTTGAGCTGAATGCAAATATGCATGCATTCATTCTCACACTGCTCTTCAACAAGATGTGACTAGCTATTTCAAGTTCCTGTGGCCTTCCCTGCTGTGATGTGTTACCTAGTACTGAGAAAGAAAATAAACCCTCTATACATTGCTTTTACCATGTTATTTTTTTTTTAAATCACAGTAGCAGGAAATAAAACTAAGACAATTCCCTGTTTGATGTGAATATTCTAGAACATATTTATGTATTAGTGACTGGAAAATGCAGCATCTTTTAATATGGAGTTTGCAGAAGAAAACAGATTTTAATTAAATTTGCAGGTCACAACAATAGATTCTGAATTAGGTACGATTAGGCATCTGAAATTGAGTTTCAAAGTATGGTCAGGGAGATTTGCTTTTTCCATTAAGCCAAATAAATTTATCAGAAAATTTAGACTGAGTGGATTGGCCACACAATACAGAAAGCACAAAAACTTAAATTTTAAAATAGTATTTGCCTTCATGGTCTTTTTCTCTGCTAAAATTTCAGGAGCTCTTAATAAATTAAAGCCACTGATAAATAACCAAATATCTAGTAGCGTAAGAAGACACTTATGTAACAGTATAGATGAGTGGACGCTGGTATTATTTCCACCAAATCTGTGGATTGTGCATTAGTGCATATGGAATGGACTTCTGTGTAGCACAACAACACAGAAGTGGGCAAAGAAGGCAGGGAGACTTAATAGGTGATATCTATTCAATGCTCATGGAAAGAAAATGAATGTGAGTGAATTTGCCAAAGAAGAGATATGCACTAAAGAAAATAAGTTAGCCACTGATGTGCAAGATTTCAAAATATAGTTGATGTTCATGAAAGCCAGTGAATCATCTGAAGAACAACTGTACAATCCATCACAAACTCTATAATCTCAGAACCATATACTTTTCATACACTGAATTATTTTTGTTGTTGTTCATTTAGTTTTTTCTTAGAGTTTTAAATTGTTAACAATTATGTCAATCATTATGCTTTATATTTTATCTTTGAATCATTTTCCATATTGAATCATTTCTATAGTAGGCAATAATTATGTAAGGACTTTTAGGGACATTCTGTGCAATATTCTGCATATTTGTCTCCATAAAATAAAAGTAAAATACCACAAGAGTAATTTTGCCTGCAAGTCTTATTTGGGCATCTATGAAAACTGAAATTTTTATGATAAATGTGGTCATGTCATTCTTCTACAACTATATTTGCAAAAGATGAAGCAACTTGAGACTTCAGCTCATTGGGTATAGTCTACACAATGGTGAGCATTGCAAGGCCTGACCCAACTTGTCAAAACATGTAAGTTATCCATCATGATATGTATATGAACACTGCAGTATTGGAACTGGTGTCCTCAGTTTTCAGACAGTGACAATCACTCATGAATTTTGCTTGTGTCCTGTTTCTTAATGAACACAGTACATCTTCTCATGGCATTATCCTTAAGCAAGTATTATGAGCACGCATACTTGCTTGCAGAATGTTATGTTTTTATTATATGTTGGTTATGTAAAATGCCCCAGGAATTATCATACTGACTATCTAGGTTCTTTAAATTATGCTCCTTTAAAATGTAAATGAATCATTATTAAGGAATTTTAGATTATTTTTCTGAATTATGTATCTAGGATTTGGGTTTTTGATGATTTTTTTCTTTAGAGATTTCACACTTTAGGGATTTTGACCTTTTCAATGTTCAGCATTCAAGATTATGATATTTACTATGTCTCTAGGTAACATGGGGAAAGCCCACGTTTTGAATTTAAACTCAAATTGTATGATTTCAAAACTGAGCCTTTCACATGGAGAGTTTTGTACTCCCTCACTCAAAGGGTAGATTTCAGAGGCAACCATAGATAACATCTGTGCAAATGACTCTGAGTTTCCTCTCCAAACTTCTCTTCTACGATCTCTTGTCTTATTCTCAGCAAACACATTGCTTTCTGCATCAAATCTTCTTCTTCTTCTTAAAAATAGTTGTATTGGATGAATAGTATTTCCCAGACAATTCTTCTCTGGGAAATACTATTCATCCAGCTTTCAGCATTTTCCTCGGCAGAGCACTCCCCTGTCAACTTTAGCATGACTAGTGCTGTAGTCCTTGTTCAGTTTTTGTGAGGTAGTCATGTTGGGATTACTTTTTTGCTTCTGATATTCTTGAGAGACACGGTTCTCACAGCAAACTCCCTGAAAACATACACTCAAGTAACATTATACAGACTTGACAGGTTATATTTATGTACTTAGAAATATATGTATATACCTCTTGTTTGATTGCTTTAATCTGGGAGTAACCTGGGTTGGAAATCATAGGGTAGAACTGTGTTCCTCTGTCTGGCTCCAGGGGGCAGCAGCTTCTTGGGCAAAGGGAGACAAACTGTGAGGAACAAACTGTAACTGGTAGATCTAGTGTCTTAAACCCCAGAGGAAAGGGGAGACACCCCCCCCACACACACACACACACTAAAATGGACAGCTCTAAAAAGACCTAAAATCCCCAGAAATCACACATCAATTCAAAAGAAATGATGGCTTTCGGGAGATCCTCAGAACATGAAATTCACTGGTGTTGTGAGAGTATTTTTCTTGAAGGGTTTTCCTTAGATTTTCCTGGATGAGATTTGGTGAGAGCAGATTTATTTTTAACAAGTGCACACACATGGCATCCTCTTTCTTAGTGACAAGAACTTCTCATATTTCCCAAATGTGCCTGGCAAGCCCTGCAACCAGAGAAAGGAGACTGGGAGACCTGCTGTTCCATGGTGCATGACAGGAGACAGAGAGCCAGTCTGGTTTCCCTCTCAGGACCGATTCAAGGGGGATGTGCTTCATTCACAGTCATGTCCACACTCTCTCTTACCCAGTGGTATATCTGAATATTTACTCTATTTTCTTCTTGTCATTATTGGAAAAGCAGGAAGAAAAGTAGCTTAATGCATGAGAGTGGGGTAATTCTATCAGGATTGCCAACATTTTGTTTTCTTCATCTTCTCTTTCTTACATGTGGCTTTAAGCCCAGTGCTTGTAGCATGAGCCCTTGAAATTCTAGCAGCCAGAAAGCTGAGGTTTCTGACAGAATGAATATGCATGGCACACATAATCTACAATTTATTAGGCTGCTTCACAGGTCATTATTGAGATTTGATTGTAATGCTTGGTGGCATTAACATCCTCTCCACATCCCCCTAACAACGTTTATGGTCAGTAATAATATTAGCTCAATCCGTGAGCCTCAGTCTGCAGAATAAAGCAACTTGAGCTCATCTTGCCTCATTACTTCTAACAGGGCTCCTGTAGTCATATCACACTTCAGTGACAAGCCAGACAGAACGACATCTTTTAAATATTGTCTCTGACATACTTCTCTCTGAAACGCTAGCCTTTCAATTAGTGCTGTGCATCAGAAGTGACAGATTCTAGAAGAGTCACGTCTCTAAGCGAGCCTAGTAATAGGTGATCCACCAAACTAGTGGGCTAGAGAAGATAACCATGAATAAATTCACTACATCCTGTTTGAAGATGTTTCCACAGCACAGACAGGCACTGGTCAAGATGCCCACCTATCTCTCCTGACATTATGTTCCCATTTTTCAGGTTCTGCATCCTTTGCAACTAAAGGCTATCTCCTTCACCTATAGGCTTTACAGATACCAAGAGTGTTCTCCCATGGGAGCTCATAGGTGATACCCTATTTGTGGAGGACTGCAAATGCCTGTTTCCTTTGCCTTTGGGACACACAACCTGACATGTGATTTATACTGCATAGACCTTGTAGGATCAAGCTGAGGTTGAGGCTTAACTCAAAATCACACCAATGCATGTTTTCTTCCCCTCCCTGACTGATTCCCACAAGCCTCTACTCTCCAGGGAACTCCTCTGTAATAAATCACTTGGCAGGAATGCTTGGCTCAGAGTCTGCTTTGGGAAGAGCAGGACCTCAGATGTATCTGGAGGCTCCCAAATCCAGCTGTGTGAATACTCATAACTATTTTATTTGGGAATTCATTCGGCCATCACAGAAACATCTAGGAACACAAATCATTTGTATTCCCACACATCCAATTCCCTTCTTCACCCCTGGTCAAGGCCCAGGAGCCTTCAGCAGATTGTGCCTTGTCAAAGAAGGGAATCAACATGTTTCTGACTGCTTGCCATTGTCAGTTATGGTCTTAATTCCAGCTTTGTGCTCTCACCCATCACTTTGAGCATGTGTTACTAGATCTGTTTTATAGTCAAGAAAGCTGAAGTTCAGAGAGGTTATAAAAACAGAACAAATTCCCACAAACTAAGACACAACTCGGGCTTTTAAGCTTCAAATCCAGTGAGTTGTGCACAAACTTTACAGCTTTGATGTTCCCACCTGAAAGTAAATAATGCTGAGAAGAGGTCACATCACCATTGCATCTAGAACCAGACAGAGCCCAGTCCTCTCCAGCATCATGACAATGACTAAGTGCCATGATTATGCTGAAGCACAATGACAATGACTAAGCCGCCAACCTCTCATTCCTGTGAGTCATTGTTCTTTTCCAACTATGACCTAGTTCAGGTTAATCATTCTAACTCCTAGATAAATGTTTCCCAATTTCTTGACAAAATCCAGCCTAAAACCAGGCCCCTGCTTTCTGATTCTCCCCTTAGAGTTATTTCAAGTCCGGTCTATTCTCAAGAGGCTCCTAGACTCCACTGAGCTTCACTCTCCTTTCCTGCAGCACCCGAAGAAGCTTAATTATGTTGCCATCAGAGGAGTCCCTGGTGGTTTCATTGTCTGCATTTCTTGATTTATCAGGTGGTTTTCCAATATAATTTTTCCTTAGAACAAATATGCTATTGTCTAGTATCATATTTCATGAAATGTTAGTCTGTATTTATTGTAAAAATGTATGTGTACTGATAAGAAAGTTTAAAAATGCTCCTGTAAACCATGATACCATTTTTTGTATTAGCCTTGAGCAACGCCTGAATCAGTCACATTAGATTCTTGTGGCTTTAGTGTTTCACATACTCCAAGGATGTGGTCATGTCTTTTGACTTCGGTTGCACTAGTTGTCTGGGGACACAATGTTTTTGCCTGTGCCTTTGTAATAAAATTTAACTACTGTACTTGCGAACATCTCCCTTCTTAGAAAACCTGGTGTTCCTCTGTGTGAAAACAATTTCCTTATTCCTCCAAAATCAAATATTTGCTTCTTTAATAATAACTTTATACCTCAAAGCCCTATTCTTGTTCCCTTCTGTTTCCATCTCAGTGTCCAGTTACTGATGACAATTAAACAGAACAAAGATAATACCATCCCTGGACATGGAACACAGGCAATGGTGTTTAAACATTGAAAGGCACAGGCAAGATTGTTAGGTCTTGATTTTTACCTGACCCAAAGATATTTTAGAAGCAAAATATATCTCAATTTCAGCCATACTAAACGGGAGAAAACATACACCTTAACATTAATAAAATGCAAGAATGTCGCTATGATTAGTTCATATCTTAAATAGAAAATCTCACTAATGTAAGTAAAAAATGGAACTAACCTTTTAAACAGAATCATTTAATTATTAATTTATGTGTGTACATGCCACACTGAACATGTAGATATAAGAGGACAACTTGAAGGCATTGTTTCCCTCCTCCCAACATGTGGGTCCTGAGACTGACGTCAGATTTTAACACTTGGTAGCAACCCTCTTTACCCACCATGCCATCCCATCAGCCTAGCACTCACTTTTTAAAGCATCACAAACAAAAGTAGTGTGGGGCTTTCTCTCTATTAAAGTAAACATGTGTAGGCACATCATTTTTTTCTTTTGCAAGAAGAAAAATATAGTTCTATATCAGATAAAATATTCCTAGGACCAACATTCAAGTTACTCATTCATGGTTAGTCATTAGAGGTGGGGCTGAAACTCTATTCCAACCTTTTATCTCCCCAAATCTTCTCCATAGCATGCAAAAGCTGGGAGACCAGGCAGCTTGGGGGAACCTGATTCGAGCTACAGATCTGGGGAAACATCCTCATGCATTTTGTGCAGTGTTTCAGGAGCTTCACATGTATTTTGTACACTATTTAGGGAGCGTCACACAATCCTGAGTGAAGTGTGGGGTGCTCTGTAAATCCCTCCAGATACAACACTCCAAGAAAATAGTCCCCAAGAGAGTTTCTTTTGATGAGGGAAATCCCAGCTGCCTTTAAACCCCAAGGTATACTATTTTGGGTCCGCTTAAGCCATCAGGCCACGTTTTCAGTTATAGAGAAAGGATAGAAAGAAGGACAAGAGAGGCTAAATCTTCCCTGAAAATTCCACTTTTTGAATCTATGACACACTTCCCAGGAGCCTGAGGTTGAGCTTTGTGTTTTAGTTTAGTGCCCAGGAGGTAGCCCTCTATTGTTTCAGAGCATAAATGAGGTTATTATGCTTTATTACATAGCAAACAACAACAACAAAAAACCGCACACTCCTACAACAGAAAAACCCACACCAGAGAAGCACAGAAAGCCTTCCACAAATGGAGAGAAAGGAGAATTCTGTGTCGTATATAGAAACAACCAGCAACTTCTGAGATGAATATTTATTCTTTAAAGCTCCTGGTATTTGTGCTGTATACATTGTCATCGTTAAAAATGTGAAGGTAAATATTTATAAACAGCTGTTAGGGAAACTAGACTTCTTGGGAGGAATGTTGAACTCAAATTGCTGCTTGGGGTTTTTCTTTTAAGATGGAAATATGCAGACTGACTCTAAATATAAACCTTCCTCTTGAAGTTCTTGTCTCTCACAGCCCAGATGAGGCTAGGCTAGAATTTAGGATTAGGACCCAGAATATGACAGCTTTAAAAGAAAAGCTGGTCCAAAAGGAAATACTACTTCTCACCAATTGCAGTGTTCAAACAGTAATGATTTAGAGTACTAAGGACTGGAGAGTGACTGACCTGGGCTATTTTAAATGCAGCTAGTGGGGTAGTGTCTAACACATAGCTGAGGGGATGTCCCAAACACAGCTGGGAGGTATGGGGAAGTTAGTGCAACTCCTTTGTCAAATTATTTTGGTGGCTGTTAATATCAAAACCCACTCATCTATTCCATTAATTTCATTTCTACATATTTACCTAAGAGAAATAAAACTGCATAATCACCCCCAAAAGTATATAGGAATATTCACTGCAGGTTTAATTCATAAGCCATAAACTAGAAACTACTCACATTTCTATCAACAGATAAATACATAAATGGATTATTCTAGGACAGTATAATGGTATGTTAGCCACACAGTGGAAGCAGTTACTAACATGTCCTATTGATTTGTACTCATACATAGATTTCCAAATAAACAGCATTCTGATCAAGCAAGAGGGAAACAGATTACATATTCTACATACTATGGCTTCATATAGCTGAAATTAAAAAAAAAAGAGTATTCATTTGTAATCTGGAAAGCAGATTGGTCCCAACTGGCCTCAAGCTGGTGACCCTCCTGTCTTGAGCCTTTAGTGCTGGGATGTAGCTAAGTCCTAATACTTGATATGTGGTGGGTTTCGTGGGCATATATACTTGTCAAAACTCACTGATGGGTGTGTAAATTATACCTCAAGATAGCAGTGTTGGTAGGAAAACTGGTTTCGTTTACATGAATGAAACCATAGTATGTAGTCCCCCCACCCTTTTTTTTTCTTTTTTTGTTGCCTGCTTTTTTCTTACTCAGAAATCTATTTTTGTTTCCCCTTCAATAAAATGTTGTCCTTAGCAGGGTTCTGGGAATAGCCTGACTCTTGTTTCCAAAAGCAGACTTTCAAGTCCATGGTCATGGATCACTGTAGGTCAGTTTACACTGAAGGTCAGTCTACACTGTAGGTCAGTCTACACTGTAAGTCAGTCTACACTGGAGGTCAGTTTACACTGTAGGTCACTTTACTCTGCACTGTAGGTCTAATCCTCTCTGCTGTCTTCAAAGGCCTCACCCAGCAGATGGCCCAGACTTTCAAAATTTAGGATGCAGGGCAAAAGTCATCTAATCTTCAATGATTTCACCTTGTCTAGATCTTCTGATCTCCAACCTGGAGAATTAATATGAGAATCAGAAAAGGCTCTGCTGCTCAGAGGGCCATCTTCCCTGTACAACTGATCTGATTATTTGGGGTAGTTTTGAGAATTCTGCTTAGGGTAGAGAGGGATTATCAGGGTCATTAAAAGTCTGTGCATTCCAAACATTTGGGTTGGGACTTTTCTTAGGCGGTCAATAAACTCTCCAAACAGAGCAACCTCTTGGGCTTGTGAGCATCTGCAAGAAGAAAATTTCATACCCTACAGCCTGGAAAAGGAAATGCCTCAACCAATTTTCCTGCACAGGTGAGTGGCCTTCCAATCCTCTTGCTGAATTTTGGGCATATTAGATTGACTTATTTATTTTTAGATACACATGATTGCAGTGAAGCATTACCTCCCTGTCTTTCTTAACAGTGTGGATGGAGTGACAAACACCTTCCCAGAGAGCCTCCAAGGAGGCAAACAAGGCAGAGGAGAGAAAGAACATAGAAAAATCCATGTCTTGCAAATGCCAAGAGAGAAAACAATCAAATTATCTGGCAAGTCGATCATTCAGTGCAGTGTTGGGTTGGGGGTGGGGGAACTGAGAATCTTGAAAATCTTCTCGCATGGGGAAGCATGCACTACCTTTGCCTGGAACAGCAAAGGAAGCAATGTTGAGAGGCCTTTTATCTCAGCATCCTGCGGGGCCTCCAGTTTGTGCTGCCAGGGGACAGAATGCTTCTCCATGGTGGTAGCTCTTTTTCTGCTCAGCTGCCAAGAGGCTGGCATGTGTGTGGCTCAGCAGTGTGGCCCTCAGCCAGGGCCCGGCCAGCAGCAGCCACCCTCAGAGGAGGAGCACCTGTTCTCCCTAGCCTGGCATTGAGAAGGTGCCATCCTTCTTTTCCTCATGCTGACTGTCCCTGAGTGTTTCCATTTTGTCTTTGCCGATGGCAGGTGCCTGCTGTCTTCTTCTGATCACCAGCCAGGTTCAGGGGGAGGGGAATCCATATCCATCCGGTTCATTCCTTTCCCTGAACACACTCCTGCATCTCAGGAATCAGATAACAGCAGGTGCTGTGACATTATGGCAAACATTCTTGTCCTGGAGGAGTGGATGTGTCACCTACTGAATCTGCGTCTCGAACATTTCATCAATCACCCATTGATTGTGCCTCCTCTGGATCCCAGGCTCAGCTTTCGGCTATATATTGTAAGCTTAACATCCTTAATACCAACGTGGGCACTGCTGTCTTGTTTAAAAATAAGCACAATTCAACTAGAAGTTCATACTCTGACATTTATATTAGCTAGCTTTTCACCAGGCTCAGGCAGTTGCTACAGATGTATTTTTCCTCCATATGCCTACCATTTGTGACAATGGGTGGACATACTTGTTGCCCCTCAGAGTGCAACCGTCTCAGTCTTTTCATAAGGTTCCTAAGGGATGCTGTGGCTGTCAGTGTATGACAATCGACTTTGGATGGATACTGATGATGATTAACTAGCTTGCCTACACAGCAAGGGACTGTTTATTAACCAGCATTGATTAAGCCTGTAGTCGGTGATGATCCATGTGTGAGAATCTTCAGGGACTCTCACACAAGTAGGAAACACAATGATTGTTGTCCAGGAAAACCTTAAAATCTAGTTGAAGAGATAATTATGCAAATGTTTCTGAAGCAAAAATGTTGTCCAAGCCTCTTTGCCTGGTAACAAAGTTGCTCTGAAGCGTGATCACACTGGGAATGAACAGTGCTGCATTGTCCAGAACATTCCATTCTGGTTTCTTGCTTCAGATTTGAACTCATATATTTGTCTTAACATGTAGCCCCACCATTACTTATTTCTCTAAATCAGTTAGCAAACCTGTCTATAATAAAGATATATAGACCACAAGGCAAAATTGAACCATTATTTATGTTTGAAAGGTTTACAACATTTCTTATAATGTATAATTAAAACATTCAAAAGACATTAACTCACAGAATATACACAGATAGATGGTAGACCAGATATGATCCATGGTACCTAATCTAAATCCTATTAGTGTTTCTAGACCAAGAACAAATTCCAAGGTCCCCATCTAAAATTTTCCTCCCTCTTAGAAGTATCTCATTTACAAAACTTCTTCAAGCAAACATTCTTACTAGGGCATTTACTAAGTAGAATGATAGAAGGAGCAAGAATATAAATTTTAAAATAAAGCACAATAAGCTTTGCATCCTGATTTTTCAATTTATAGCTCAGTAGCACTCTGAAAACAACGTAATTTTCTAAGTCTTGGTTTTTGTGTAGTTGGTATAGCAACAGATGAATGATTTACACACAACATTATTAAAGGAAGAACACAGAAATATTTATTTCTTTGTGGAGGTGCCTTGACATTTATTTCTTGCCTAGTTTTTCTCTGACATTATTTATGAATTTACAGAAAAATGGGTGAAACTGGAGTTCATCATGTGAAGTGAAATACTTGCAGTTCCAAAAGACTTGTACTGTGTGTGTGTGTGTGTGTGTGTGTGTGTGTGTGTGTGTGTGTGTGTGTTAAAGCATAAGTATATTAAATATCTCTTCTGTGGGGTCATTTGTAAAAGTATGTTGAGGCTTGCCAAGCTGTGAAGGATCAGTAAATTCTCTGATCCCTCCATGCCTTTATTCCATATCCTCATCAGAAGCAATCAAAATTGCATTTTTTTCCTGAGGGTATAGATACCAGCTTAACACCTCCCAGCACCCAATGCTGAGTTAAGAGCTAATGTTTGGCAGGTCCTCACAATTATTTACTGTTAATGTAAATGTTGTCAAGCATTTTCATGCTAAAGCTTTTCAACAGGCGTTCCTGTATTCAGCTGTACCTGCTCATTTCACTTCCCAGTATAATTCCATAGTCTTTTCATCCCATCACTCAATCAATGTCCATGTCTTTAAATCCAGGGAACACATTTCAGGGCTTTTATTTTTCCTTTTAGTTTATAACTTTTTAAAGTTTCATTTTACATTCCAACCAAAGTTCTTTCTCCTACCCCTCCTTCTACTTTCCCCTCCCCTCCCCCAGCCCAGCCCCTATCCACTCCTCCCAATAGGTAAGGCCTCCCATGGGGAGTTGAGAAAGTCTGGCACATTAAGTTGGGGCAGGACTAAGCCTCTCTCCCTTGCATTAAAGCAGAGCTTGGTATCCCCTCATAGGGAATGGTCTCCAACAAGCTAACTCATGCACCAGGATAGATTCCAGTCCTACTGCCAGATAGCCCAGGCTTCACCACTGTCCCCCACATATGGAGGACCTACTTCCGTCTCATGGAGGTTTCACAGCTGTCAGTCCAGAGTTCATGAGTTTCCACAAGCTTGGTTCAGCTGTCTCTGTAGATATCTCCATCATGATTTTTTCCTCCCTTGCTCATGTATTCATCCTCCCTCTCTTTGACTGGATTCCTGGAGTTCAGCCTATTGCTTGGTTGTGGATCTCTGCATCTGGATCCATCAATTACTAGATGAAGGCTCTATGATAAAAGTTGGTGTATTCACCAATCTTAGTAAAGGGGAAGGCCAGTTAGAGTACCCTTTCCACTATTGCTAGGAATCTTAGCTAGGGTCATCTTTGTGGATTCTTAGGAATTTCCCTAGCACCGGGTTTCTCCCTAAGCCTATAGTGGCTCTCTCTATCAAGGTATTTTTTTCCTTGCTCTCCCTATCTGTACCCTACCCCTTGAAAATCCTCTTCCCTCATATTCTCATTCCCCATTCGTTCCCCTTTATCGACCCCCTCACCCTAAGTTTACTCAGGCGATCTCATCTAATTCAACTTCCCAGGTGATGCATGTGTCCCTCTCAGGGTTCTCCTTGTTACCTAGCTTCTCTGTAGCTGTGGGCTGTGGCTATTCAATGCTTTATATCTAGTTGTATTTGACTTTTCATCATCTACAGATGATGAAACACTCCTTTCTCACAGTTCAAGCCTTTAGAACTCTGTAATAGCACATATCCCAGGGCCACTTCCCCACCCTCTTCTTTCCCTTTCTGTCTCATTTGTAGGATCATCCTTATTCAAAGAGCACCAGGAGTCTGTATTTCTGAAGACAGCACTTGCTATTATCTTTAGGCACTCCTATCTGTGTGGCGGTTTCTGAGAGGTTCTGCACACAGATTCATCATTAAATTTGATTTCTAACTATGAACTCTTCTGTAAGGTCTACCTTCATCTTATCCGTCAAAGACCCATCAAAATCAAGTTGACTTAACTTGGTAACCTATTCTAACTCCCCATCACCTGAAGAGTCTTCCTTCATAGTTGTCTTGTTTTCATATCTTATTCTTCTTACCAGAAAAACTAGAGACCTACTAGTTATTTGAATGTTAACATCTGCCTCAACAAGCAAGTTAAACTGCCCACCACCCTTTTTATATTTTGTCTCTTAAATACCTCTTGAATACCCCTATCTCCTGTATTATGGATAAAGGTGCCATTGTTATTGTAGACCCATAAGAGTTGTCAGATACCTAGGAGCTGTGTTAGCTTACCTGAACCTTGGCTGTTCTACTCCACTCTGTTACCACAGAGAGCTGTACTCACAATCCAAACTCTAAATTTGATCGTGTGACCCCATCATTTATGGTCTTCTACTACATCCCCCTGATATCAAATTGTGCTAACTCCCAAGGGAAAGCACATCTCCTAAGTTCCAGTTAGGAATGTCAAAACTGATCCCTTCACTTTCAGATTTCTTGTTTTTGAATTCAGTTAGCCAGCTAATAAAGTAACTATCTCAGATTGATCCTCCAGCTAGGCTATTGGATCTCTAAATACACCTAATATTTCTTAGACAGCTAGTCACTGCCAGGCTAATAATAAAAGTTCAACTGATGATTCACAATGATAAAGTAGAAGGATGTCACTTATTTCCTCAGGATTGCTACTCATTTTCCCAGGATATCACTTATTCCCTTTGGGCTATCTGAGAAGTTTTCCTGCAACTTTAAGAAAAGGTATTATTGTTGTTAATGCTCTGTGTGAACAACAGGTTGTTTATAGATTTCAATATTCATCCAGACACAGTCCAAACAAATATTGTTCATTTGTTTCCTATATTATTTGGTCAATCAATTTTCGCCGTCAACTCTCTAGACTCATACAGGTAAAATCAAATATGAACAATTAATTATTTCAGTATTATGGAAATGGGAAAAGTTTTTAGGACTTTCTCCCAAGTCAGACTACAAAGGAATAAATCTTGTAGGAGACCAGAGTGAACAGGCTGTTCAAGTATTGATTAACATATTTAGCAGCCAAACCCTAAGTATTTGTCTGTGTGAATTAAAAGCTTTATGCATACATAAAACTACCCATGTATGTTCATTGCAGAACTATTAATTATCACCCAAACTTGTAAACAGCCAAAAATATACTACAGTATTCCAATAGATAAACTTGATATGTACAGGCAAAGGAATGTTATTTAAATGTAAATGAGCTAGCAGGCCATCAAAATATTTGTAAATACATTAAATGTATGTTTTAAGAGGGAGGAAAGCCATTCTGGAAGGAGTCATACTGTAAAATTC